AGCATACAGAAATCTACCAATCAGAACAGCGAGCTACACTTCTCCTCCAGACAGCAATTTGATTTAGATATGTAGGCAGTGTTGAAAACCCTGCCACTGTCACGACTCAAACCTAGAACCTCCAAATATGAGGCACTGCAGTGGCATCAGTTAATGCCCTGAGCCACATCTCCCAGTTATCTTTCCTACATTCATAATTTTTTCCCCTTTAGATTATTAACCCCTAGATATATCTGAATTTCCTCATTCTGGATCCTGTCTCTCTTTGTGACAACAATGCAACCCCTTAAAAACTTAATTTCAGCGGTCTGCGTCCTACATATTCTTGAACCGATAGTCCAATTTCACATCCATACAGCTCACAAGCGACAGTTAATATTTTGTAAAATTTTTTAAGGGGGGCTTTACTTTGTTTGGGGTGTTGATCTTGCTTTTCTATGTCCTTGGTAGTTTTGCATATCCTATTAAATTTCTCAATGTTTTTATCAACATGAATTTCTCCTCTATATGGCAGGTCAAATCCTAGGAACTTCAAGGAACATGCATAGAACAAATGAGTTCAATTATGACTTATTTACATCAAACTGTATTTCCCTTGAAATGACATTGACTGTTTTTTGAACAGAAATATCTAAAATATGTTGTTTTGTGATCATCTGTTTATTTAAGGCCCTTTGTAGAGTATCTTTATTAACAGATATCAGAACTTGATTGTAAACAAAAAGAAGTCATTATACAATTTTTATTATTAAAATTATTTTCAAAATATTGAGACACCAACTTTTGCTTACATATTCTGCTAACGTATGTAGGTAAATATTAAAATGTGGTAACATACAAGACCCTTGTCTCACACCTTTATTGACCATTTCCTTGCTGATCTTGCATGATTTTGTTCTTACATTAATTTGGGTATTATTTACATGCCTCAAATAACTATATTTGTGTTTTGCTATGCCTCTTTTGCCCATTACTGACCATAATTTTCCTCTCAGTATGTTGTAGGCTTTTATGTAATCTATAAAGACTGTACATGTTTGCAGGATGATTTTTCACCTCCTTTCATTCAACAGATTTAACTCAAACATGTTGTCAAAGTATGATCTCCCTTTCCTAAAGTTATTCATTCATTATACTTTACAATCTATTAATAATGATTTGAGGGGGGTGTAAACCTAGCAGTTTATACTTCCCTTAGATTCAGAGATATTTGAATGGTTCTATATTGTTATTATTGAGCTTAGGCATTTTCCTAATTTTGCAGTTTGTCAGCGCATCTAATTAAAAAATTCTCACTTACCTACTGTATTTTGAGGGGGGGGGGTAACTAACACATTTTCCTTTTTCAGAATGCCAATGTGTTTACAGAATTTTTTTGTTCATTCTCATCTAATATTTGTAAATTATTCAGCATCCTTTGCATCTTTATGAAGGTGCTTTATGACAGACTAATCATTGTCTCTCATGAATGCCGAGGTCAATGTTCAATATACTACTACCCAGCTTTCTTCATTTGCAGTTTTTTATTTTGTTTTCTTTCATTGGATCTTACAGTTTTCTAACGACTGAATTTTTCTTTGTTAGCCATTATAGATATAATTTCTTTTTCTCTATTATTGCTTCATTCCATTACTGTATTTTGTTGTTCTATTTTTAAATATAGTTTTATTCTTTCCTGATATAAACCTGCTAGAGAAGAGACATTAAGAAGAAAATGTTTCCAGATTTGATTATGATGGTTTGATTTTTTGTTTACCCATTAACCATCTCGATTTTAGACACACTCAACCCCTCATGATGTAATGGTCAGGTTCAATATATTTTACCCTTGTTATTCTCACTATTCAAAGCATTTTCCTAATTTGGTTGGGGGAAGATTTATTATTCATTGCTCCGCCAGCCCAAGTATATTTATGAACATGCAGGTTTGAAGAAGGAATTCTTTATTCTTAGATCATAATTGATAAAATTTCTCAAAATGTTCCCATTTTAATTTAATGTGGGTTCACAATTTGTTGCTAGAAGCTTTAGAATAGGTAATTTAAACTTGCATTAAGATCTACTAGTAGATTTTGTTTTTTCAATTATGTAATCTAATAAATTGTCATAGAAAACTTATGACTCTTCCATCTTATCCTCTTCTGATGCATACACAGTGGGAATACTTGATATGCTCTTTCAATTTTTGGTTTTTAAGTAGCCATTTGTTTATTTACCCAACTATTTAATGTAATTTTGTTTCTTCATTTTTGATGATATATTATTCCTTCACCTGCAGTTGCTCTATTATCAATTGAGGTATCTCTTAGTATTAGAAATAAAAAAAAAGCCAAGTCTTGTTTTGGGACATTCCTGATTCAGCTATTAATGTATTTTGATATTCCTCATCATTTACCATTACATGTTTTTGCTGGAATCGTATATTTTGGAGGTGGGCCTTGTTTAGCCTCTGAGTAGTATCTTCCCTAACCGTGTTATGAGCACTGTGCAGGAAAAGTCTGAGGCTGCTTCTTCACTGCTTCCACACTAGCAGAATTTATATAGGGTAATTTCCCCTAATCAACCTAGTTCCTATTGACCTACCAGTCTCATCTACACCTATATAAAAATTAGTGGAAAGTTAGAGAGAAATAAAGACAAGAAAACAGAGTTGAAATTATAAGAGAAGACTGAAAAATTATTGACACTCTAGCCCTTGAGACCTTACAGATAAATAAAAGAATTGTCAAACATGTAAGTGAAAAACAATGCTACAACACATTGTGAAACCTTTAGTGTTACCCAGGGGATATCACATGGTGACAGTTAACAGATTGTCTCCACCCCCACCCCCCATAATTTCTATATTTATATTTTATTTCTGATATTTCACATTTAATACAAATGTTTGATACTATTTACTTGTATCTTAGAGGAACGAACATTACTGTGCTCATATGAACCATTAAAAAGTCGCAAGAGCACATTCCCAGACCATTCTGCCAAATTAAATATTACTGTCCCACTCTTCCCGAATTTACAATTCAACTTGATTATCTGCTCTCCAAGAAAAGAAAATCCATTGTACGCAGCATTATAGTGCATTAAATAGAATAGTAGAATAGAAAGAAGTTCGTTATGTGGGACTCCTGGAATCCACATGTAAACATTCATTACCTGAACAAGGGAAGATTAATGTGCTTTAAATGACAGTTGACATTAATTTTAGTGTCTATTAGAATAATTTGCAGTTGTTTTCTTGAATTATAAAATTTTAAAACATTTAAAGATAGAAGTTGTACAAAACAAAAATAGAGAGCTTTAAATAAGCCCCTAAAACATCATTCAGAGTGTCTAAATGCAAGAGCCTGTTTTCGGCTCCTAAAACAGTTTTTAACACCTGAACTTCTGCCATTTACTTACTAGACACTAGGTGGTGTTCAATTTAAGCAAAAAAAGGAGATTATTTAAGTTCTATTCAGCAACGTTATCCTTTTATTGAAAAATGTTACTCTAGTGAAAACTTATCAAATTCATGGTAATAAATCCCCCTTGCACTTACACCCATTTGATAAAAACGTGGTACTTCTGATGTGAGGGAATGTGGGGGTATTTATGTGCAAGCATGCTTTGGGGGTATCAATGTTCTCATATAAACATTGCATTTCTTCAACTTGCATGTTTTATCCTTATATACTTAGTTTTATATGAAAGTCACTTGATGCAGCTTGTTACGGGTTCAGACACTAAACAATCTGATACGTATGTATAAAAAAATAAGGTAGTTCAATTCTACTCACATGTAGAAACTTAATATCACAGAAGATGGACCTTCTTTGGCTATTGATTTCTCCAAGAATTATTGTCAATGTTTTTGGTTTATACAATGTATTTTAAAATTATATCCCACAATACAAATGTAATAAGTCTGTTTTCCGAGTTAAAAGATTTCATTTTTTCATCTAGTTTCCTTGCAACCGAAGTACTGTACTACATACTTAGGTTTCAAAGGTCAAGAAATTAACACTGTGTATGTTTCATAAAAAGTGATGAAAAATTAGTTGGACTTCCATCACGTTTTTTCATGTACGTTTCTGGATGAGCAATTATCTGAGATTATTATCTGACCCAACTCTTAGAAGTTTTTGACTACATCCCATGAGGTGTGGTATTCTAAACTTTTCTGTGGTAGTTAAAAAATTAAAGCGAGGTACCACACTCCAGAGAGGTGACTAGGCAAAACACTAGCAACATATACACAGTACGAGATCTTAAGAAATGTCTATTATCGTCATAAAGAGACTGCGGGAAACCTGTTCAATAATTGTAGAAAGAAATCAAACTCCCACTTCAATAATTCATTCAAACTGTTCTAGTTTTTATAAATAATATAATAAGGACTCTATTTTACTAACTATATTAATAAATTAATTATAAATGAACATATGTTAATAGTAAAAAGAACACTCATTGTAATTTTTTGTTCCAAGCCACCAAACAAAATTAATATAGGGTGTCTCTAATTAGTGTTCCTACATTTTGCATATTTAATTTCCATTACTATCTAACCCTGTCACTCAAACTGCAAAACCACATTGCGCACTGCAAAAAGACCAAATTGTGAAGACTAACTTAAGGACACAATTGGAGGACAGCACGAAATTACATTTTAGATTCCTCTAACACAAACCAATTACTGATGGCCCAACAATTTTATTTAACTAATATTTTACTGTATACTATGTACTTAAATGGCTTACTTAACAGGGTAAAATAAAAAATAAATCTGCCTTGAATTATCTATAAACAATATTTCATTATACCTAATCTGAAATGGGGAAGTGTGAAAGCAATTATCAATACCGATAAAAATTAATTCTAATCAATATGATCTCTGCAATGCACATATCATTAATTTTGCATTCTATTCAAAGGCCACAAATGTACTGATACCAATACAGAAAAACAAAAAAAGGAAATTAATTTCACACTGCTAGTCAAGGTACAATAAAACAAACTTATTTATGAAGAAAATGTTTGGTTTATTTCAGACATTCGCTTTATTTTTGACATTTTTCGCTTAAATGCACATATGCACACACTTGTCCATATGCAGACCGAGTTGAAGAGCGCAGAACTAGAAAACTCACCAATTCCAACAGTATGAAAGTCCAGTCATAGTAACAATTCTGCCAAATAGCCAAGCAAGCAGACATGAACCTCAAAAATACAATTCACTCAATGGTGAACCAACATTAAATGGAATTCATACCCAAAGAATACATCACTCAATGTTCCAGTTCACAATCGCAAACCCATATCCACTTTTCAATTCTGGAAACTACTGAAAACCACTCCAATTAATGTGATTCCGTTAGCTTTTTCTGCTTAATAGGAACAAAAAACAGGTCTCCGATTTGTATGATGGAATGGTACATGAAGTACGAATACATTAACAATAAAAAAAACATTTGGAAAACTGTTTTGTACTTGTGCCTGCCCATAGAAAAGGACAAGACAGGGAGACCACAAGAATGTGGTAATTTGACTTCAGCATCAACTACTTCAGAAACAATGGAACACGAACTGCCACCCATTCAACATAGAGTTGAAATAACACTTTTTTAAAAAACGAAGAAAAAAAAAAAATAACGACCTTTGTACAATTCCTAACACCTACATTTATGTATGAACTCACAAATATCTCCTTATCAATATACTGTATCTGCAATGTCAGCACAAAAGCACAAATCCACATATTAATTCCTACATGCAAATGTACATTTTATATATATATTTATTTATATGTTCATTACAGGAAACGTTTTCATTGGCGATTGGATTCTAACAAGATAAGAAAAAGCTACCTAAATTTTACAAGAACAATATTTTAGAAATTTTACACGATTAATTTGGCATATGGATACATACCGTAAACTTCACTCAAAGAAATATCTAAAATACTTTTATATATGATTTCCTTCAAGCAGTTTCTTATTCTTTAATGAAATATTTTGTCTTTACCATCCACAAAACACACCGAACACACATTTCGTATCACAGGGGTATTTTCTGGAAAATTCCCATTCACAACATAACAACTGCCCTTCTAGAAGAAAAAGGGGAAAATAAACATTCATGCTCATAAACATAATTCAGTCACACAGTGACTGCTGAAATACTAAGGAAGTAGTGCTAAAAAATCCTCTTCTTTCATTGATCTCAACATTAGCACAACCTATTTCAACACTTCTAATAAAACCACTTGTGACTAACATAAATACTTTCTTTAAACAAATCACTGGTAACCTTACAGTGCACGATAGCATTTTGCACTACCTGGTATAAAAAGCACCATTTCCATAATACAACTTTGCCCAGCACAGACTCCAAGGACAAGAAAATGAGACACTTGCTCTGTACTGTGCTTTACAAGCCCATGTAAAAGCACACTCCGCTTTGGAAGCATCATCGACACAGTTTCAGAAGACATTTACACCTCATTAGAAGCAGAGCGACATTACAAATGTAGTAATCTCAATCACACACACACATTCCAAACCTGAGAGTGAACTGTAGGCGTCAAAGCAAAATTATAGCTCAGAATCCACAGTCACTTAGCAACATCTATTCCACCAATACACAGCACAGACCTTTAGTAAAATCCAACAATCACACATACACCTTGGAAGCCAGGAACATACTGGTATTTGAAAAAAATGCCACAAACTAGTTTGAGACATGCAGAACGTTGCTTTCAATAGTTCGTAACAAATTCTACACAAATGAAAATATAAAGAAAGGAGAATAATTGAAGCTGATTCATTGATTGATGCCAGTAGCCAAGAATCTAATTCTGCTATTGCTTCTTACATAAATTTTGTCTCAGGTTTATGATGACAATAGTAATTTGAGTTTTCCATGTTAATATATATTGCATTATAAATAACTTCTTGCCTACAGAACTTTAAAAACAACATACAGAATCCAGAATTATAACATACTATTTGACAAGAATGTTTTCTGAAAGAGATGAGAATAAAGTTTCATTTACATGCCGCCTGTGAACATCACACAGGCTCTTTTCTCTGCACTGACAGTGATTTTCATCTTTCAATATTTGATTGATTTTCTTGTGGACTGTAAACAGTCAGCGAGACACCAGAAGAAAGAAAGCAACTCAACAACATATTGAGGAGACCTCCTTTCGAATCTGCTACTCCAAGCACAAAGGTGTTGGGTTCCAACCCTTTCACCTTGTCAGGCATACAGTGAACACCCACAGTACACCCGTTGTGTACAGAGGGAAGTTACTTGCAATCAGAGGCGTTGGCAGAGGCCACCACAGTGGTAGCCATGCTCTCCAATACGGCAGCGGGCACTTGTGGTCCGGCAACCGGTGCGAGCTCCTCGCTGCGGTACGAGTGCTCGCTATCCGTCCGCCGATGTCACGCGCTCGTCTCTTGTTCGCCCCAACCCTCACTATCATATTCACTCTCAGAGGCAGAATCGGAATCTGAGAATTCAACGGCAACACGTCTTGCCAGGATGGAAGCAACATCGTGCAAAGCATTAACACGTTCCACTTCCTTTTGTTCATTCTTCTCCACCTTCCGGAGTTTGATACCTATAATCATAAGGAAAAAAAATGCAATATTGGCATTAAATATATGGAAATAATCGGCAAAATTTATGTATTGAAGACCAATTCAAATTTCCAGCCCAAAAGTAGGCCAAATTTTTTAACCAAAAAATTATAACCCCACTATTTGTCTTCTCATTCTCATAAAATAAATTTTTGAACTGAGACTTACATTCTCGCACATTTCTTCACATGTAAATGCTTTAACAAATAATTTTGTTCATTTCCTCAAATATCAATTACTTATTTTTTATATTTCAATATTTATGAAACAAGTTTAACACAAAATATAATGACTTTATGCAATGTAATGCAAACAAATCTAGTGTTACTTCCTGGTTAGGAATGCACCAGTAAATAATATGTAGCACTACTACAAAACTAGTGATCTGATCCTCGAATCCTTTCAGAAGAATGGAGGCAATCATTTATTTTCCATGTTATACATAATTGGATTTTAAATCTGTGTATGGAGTTAAAAATCCTTTTTACAAAGGCTTTTTTAATGCAAATAGTGTGCAACTTCATGTAATGAAATATTAACAACAAATGATTGCAATCAGTTTACTGTGAGAAAAAATTCATCTCCCTAATTCAATTAAAAAGAAATTAGATCTAGCAGATATTTTTTCCCCTTTCTGTTAAAATCCTGCATGAAACAGCTCCTACAAGCTCAGCAGATTTTCAAATCGTGATATAGAAGAAAAAAAAAGAAAAGAAAAAACAACAGCAACAAACATTTTTTAAATTCCATTCCAATTTAATTTCATTTTTTAAATTAAATTAAAAAATTCCTACATGTTTATTCTAAGATTTTTTCAACTGCACAAAGTTCTTATCTTATGTTAAGTCAATTTCCTAAATTGGGTAACGGTAAGTTATGCCCATCACCACAGACTCATTGTATATTTTTAAACACGAAGTGAAATTTTAATAAACAAAGTTTCACAATAACAACAGAATAAGTTATTATCATTTAAATTACAAAAATTATTTTTTTTCCATTTTATTTAGGATGTATGCCTCTTAGTAACTGACTGAACCAATCCATTGAGAACAAATCCCCTAGCAAAATGTTTATCTACAAGAAGGCACTCACCATCTCGAATAGCCTTCAGAAGATCACTTCTAGGATCAAATGCAGGTGCAGGTGCATTTCCTGTTTTGGGCCGAGCAGGGTTGGTGTCTGTTTTAGGAGGAGACAGCTTGGGCGGAGAAGTAGAAATAATCTGAAAAAAGAACAAACAAATTTGTAAAGTGGGAAGTGAAAACAAAAATGAAAGAATTTAAACCATTTTTTTTAAATGGTTAGTAACAAGACTATTAAAGAATCTGTCAAAATGTTCACAAATCAACTTAACAATTCAAACCAAACAAGTTTTCCAACTTTTGAAAATAATTTGAGTTAAAGATACTCTGAACAATGGGACTTTACGAAGATCACAACAATCCTCAATAGATGTTACAATGGAATCTAGATAACATGTTTTTCATGGGACCAACAAGTTTGAATGTTTTAAGCAGGAAAATGTGATATTAAAAAAATGTTCAATTTATACTTTTCACACACAGGGTTGCTGCTCATGGAACAATTTTTCATGTCTTTTTTAGATCTTCAGGTGGATTTTATTTTTATTTCTTTGGATAAGATATCTAATCTGCATCACCCTACTTAAAGAAAATTATGAAACTACCCTGACAATAATTGGTTAGCTCTTTTGGATTTTGTTGTGAAAAAGTACAAATTAGCAAATCCCCCCCCC